GAGAACCATCTCCGCCTTCTGTGCGGGGGTTCCATGCTGCTTACCAGGCACAGCCTCGTCCCGAGCAGTGCCGGCCTGCTGCGCGGCTGTGGCTTCCAAGCCGGGGCGGGGGTGGTGGTGGTGGAGGACACTTAGTGCGCATGCGTGATTCGCGCCTGGCGTTTTGCAAAGGCCGAAAGGAAAAAGGAGCCGTGACTCCTGCTAACAATTCCAAGAGAGATTTTCATGGCAAGCAGGTTGTGTCAGCCTTCCCTGCTTCGTCTGCTGAAGTCACTTAATGCCTCCCATTCGATGTATTTCAAGTCCTGCTTTCCAGATTTTTTAAATTGCGGTAGAATACACATAACATAAAACCATCTCAGCCATTACACGTGCAGTTCAGTGGTATTAAGTACATTCACATGGTGCACTTAATGGCACAACCATCACCGCCATCCATCTCCAGAACCTTTCCATCTTCCCAAACGGGAACTCTGTCCCCATGAAACAACTTCCCATTCCTTTTCTCCCGGCCCCTGGCACCCACCATTCTGCTTTCTGTCTCTAGGAATTTGACTGCTCTGGGGACTTACAGAAGAGGAATCATACAGGATTTGTCCTTTGGTGAGTGACTTATTTCACTGAGCATAATGTCCTCAAGGTTCAGCATGTTGTAGCAGGTGTCAGAATTTCCTTTTGAAGACTGAGTGTCATTCTGTTGTGCGGATGGACTACATTTTGCTTATCCATCCATCCATCCATCCATCCATCCATCCAGGGACACGTGGCTTGCTTCCACCTCCTAGCTATTGTGAGCATCACTGCTGTGGACATGGGTGTGCAAATATCTGTCCTGGTCCCCGCCTTCAGTTCAGTACACCCACCCAGATTTTTCACACCTTCCAGGCCTGCTGCTAGGTGGTGAGGATAAAGAGGTGAGAGGATGAAGCACCTGTTCTCAGGGAGCCATGGCTGGAGGGGAAGGCAGAAATCCACAGGTGATGCTGCTGGGTGGGAGATGCCAACTGGTCCTCTGAGCAGCACTTGGACTTCCTAAAGTCCTCTCACGTCTGTTACTCCATCACTTGCTCACGGGTGCTGAGAAGCTGCTATGCGTATCAGCTCCTTTTTTTTTTTTAAATGAAGGTACTGGGGATGGAACCCAGGACCTCACGCATGCTCAGCACGTGCGTAACGCTAAACCATACCCCCACCCCCTCAGCTGCATTTTATAGGTGGGGAACCAAGTCACGGGAGGATGCAATGCCTTGGGTGAGATCACCTGGTTAGTCATGAAGCTGGTGCCAGAATTCAGGTCTACGGAACCCAATTCACCCAGCTGCTTTCAGAAAATCCCCCACGTGGCTAGTTTAGATATTTTTGGCTGCACCTGCAGGTGACAGAAACCCAGCTGACACTGGCTTCAGCCGAGGGGGTTGATGGTTCGTGTAATTAGCATGGCCAGGTGTTGGGCTGGTTCCGGGCTCTGCTGAACCTGGGGGCGGGAGGCTGCCTCAGTCTCTGTCTCCTGGGTCTGCCTTCGTCTGGCCCTTGGCTTCATTTTACAGTTTGTCTGGGCAGCTGGAAAAGCTGACTGTCCAAAATCCAGGCTTCTGTGGTCCTCTGAACTCAGATCCCAGAGCAAGCGAGAGCTCCTCCACTCCTCTTGCCCTGGGGGCCCGAACTTATGAGACCTAGTTTGGTTCCCAGGCCGGGGCTTGAGCCAGTCTTGGGCCAAGATTTTGGATTGGCAGGTCCAGCCCATGAAGGACAGCCCAGCAGGCCCCCGGAGTGAAGGAGGAGTAGCAGGAGGGCAGGAGAGGCTTGGACGTCCTCACAGCGCAGGGAGGGATTGGATGGCAGAGGCCGGATGAGAACAGAAAGAAGGCAAAAACACAAAAATCGGCTGTGGGTATCAGAGGCCCCACATGCTTTTCATCTTCACTGTGTGCGCACTCACTCTGAGGATGGATTGAAGTAGAAATAGCTGCCTTTGCAAGCACCCTGCTGAAGCTTGTCACCCAGACAGGTTTCTGTAGGAAACCTTTCATTTTTTTTGGTATAATATTTTAACTTTGGTTCTTCAATGTGCAGATACAGACTTCTGCCAACTTTCTCTCCCAAGCAGAAGAGCTCTTCCATTTCCTTCCCGTGGTCACCCATGGGCTGGACCTGTGCCCATCCTTACCTCTGACGTGGATATTATTATGCACAATTCCCTGGGTGAGGCATAAATAAAAGCAGTGTGGGCCAGAGTGCTTTACAACCCAGGAAGATGCAGGAAACGTGGAGGAATCAAGTCACTGTTTAATTTTCTGTGTCCACACTTCCGGCAGGGATTCGGGACCCTGGCAGCCAACTCTCTGCTGGGACTTTCTGCAGAGCTGTCCTCCATGGCACCTCCAGCACCTGCTCCTCAGAGAAGCAATGCTGGGTGGCCTGGTTGGGGGGTGGCAGTGCAGTGAGGGCAGTGGACGGAGGAGGTCTCATTCTGGGGACGCTGTGTCTCAGGGTTATGATGGTCCAGATGGGGAGTGAGGAAAAGCTGGCATGGGCAGTGGTGCCACTTTCTGAGGCTGATGGAGGGGGAGAATTCCAGATCGACAGTGCGGAGTTTGCAGTATAAGTATATCCCACATAATGCATGGGGCGTGCTTGTTACTCAAAATCATGTGTTGCTTAATCTGACATTCAGATTTCACTGAATGTCCTATATTTTCATGTGTTAAAACTGCAACCCTGCCAAGGAGACAAAGAGGCCCGCGCGAGAGAGTAAAACTCGGGGACCATGCCCACGGCCTCGGGAGGATCAGCTGTCCCCAGGCTGCAGCTGTGTTCCTGATGGCTTATGTCTGGGTTACTTTATTCCTACCCAGCAAATTGCTTCCCTAGCTCTCAGGCAATTTTGTTTGTTTATTCATTTATTCAACCCAAGAAACCTACAGTGTGCAGGCCGCGGTAAAGGCAGGCACGGCAGCTCCCCGCAAGTTGCTGAGAGAACAGATAAAACAGTAGCCCCCCATGCCCCCGGCGTGTCCGTTACTGTTTCCCTCTGAAACGTCAGCCCCGCAAGACCGGTCATTGATGTGCCACCGGTGCCCGGGACAGGGCCTAGGGCAGAGCAAGCTTTCAATCAATGCTTGTTAAGTAAATGACTCTGAAAATGGGCCCTAGGCACTGACAATCCCAGGAGACTCAGCATGGTGATGGGGGAATGTCCTTAAAGCCAAAGCACTCCTTTCTTGGGTAACTTCATAGGAAACACTTGCAGGAAAATGGGTTTCTGCTGGATTGCAACTTTCAATTATTGCCCAAGACAACAGCTCAGTTCTCCCTGTCATTTTATCAGTGAGCTTTGCTATGGCTGGGGGATTCCAGAATCTTGTCCAGGCGAATGTGTTATCCTGCGCGCCGCTGTAAGCCCTGCACCCCCTAGGGTTCTCCCCGCCTTCCCTCCCCTCCCCAGGTCTGTGGTCTCCATGTGGCCTCCACCTGCGAGCTGGGGGCGAGATTCCAAAGGTAAGCCCTTGCTTCAACTTTGCGAGGTGTGTGGCCCAGAAAGAAAGGTGGAGGGAGGAGGAGCCAGAGTGACCTTTCTCCGTGTGTGTACAGAGTATGTGACTTTGGTGGAGATGCACGTGTGTGGCATCTCCCCATGGGTATGGTGGCTCTGGGTGCACAGACAAGGTAACGGGGACCGAAGGTCCAGCCCTGATTGTGGCTCCCGAGGCCAACACAAGACTGTTGAATTCTCCTTAGTAAGGATACCCTGGAGCGCCTTGGTCATCCAGTGTGCTCCCAGCTGGAACCTGGTGATGCAAACGTCACCTTGAAGTATGTGCGTATGTGTGGGGGGTATGTGTGTGTGCCCGCGCACGTGTGTGAGTGAGAGGACTGTTTGGGGGAAGTGAGAGTTTGGCAGTAATGCAGCTGAGTGGGATTTTTATGGGGTGTCTCCTGCTTTAGGGCCCTACCTGCGCCTTCTGCAGACCAGCAAGTTTCTGTCCAGGCTCATTTCCCTCCATCTGGCATATGCCTCCTTCCAGACCCAGGTCCAGAAACCAGCCCTTCTGGAGATTAAGTTAAAAAGCCAGCAGCCAGCCTGGGGCCCTGGGCAGGGCCTTTATTTGGGGGCAGGGGTGGCTTTTCTCTCAGAAAAGTAGACGAGCTGTCTCCTTCCAGAGGTAGAGAGCCCCACAGAGGCACCGACCCCTCGAT